CCACAGTCACCACAGTGTCCACGTCCGTGAGTACTTTTGCTTTTTTTTAAGAAGAGATAGTGAAAACTATTTTTCTTCAGCAGCACGTTATGAGTGATTTATTAACACATGATTCTAAAACAAATGATGCAGAGAGGTTTATTAGAATGATCACAACCTTACATCTTAAAAGAACCGGTCGAGTTTCCCAGTATATATCCTGATGATTAATAATCATGAGCAGTGTGCTAGCCTGTTTGATACTGAGCGAAACCCCATCTTTCACTTAGTTCCACCAAACATCGTGGGGGAAGAACAGAACGTCTCTGCCCTCATCGGCCAGGCTGTGGAGCTGCTGTGTCAAAGCGACGCTGTCCCCTCGCCCACTCTGACTTGGTTAAAAGACGGCCGCCCCTTGCTGAAGAAACCAGGCCTCAAGATTTCTGAGAATGGAAGTGTGTTAAAGGTGAGGCCATCACTTTATTTATTTCTTCTTATATTGCTCCTGAGCTCATGGCTTCGGCATGACCGCTATGAAACTTGCCTGTCTCTACAAATGTTCTATTAATTTCATATTATAAAATTCTAGGAACCCTTTCATTAAGGGGGTTTGTAATATTTTTTAAATTTGGGGCTAAGTAAGATTTAAAGTTTAATTTCTATCCATATTTGTAGCCAGAAGCCATCCAAAAATGCTTCTAGGAAAATATTATAGGAATGTTGTAGGATAGCCTCAGCCACAGCCATTCAATCAATCAGCAAAGACCCTTTCTAGGTGCTCTGGGTAGGGAATCCAGAAAGTGTAAGATGCATTTCCTGCCCTCGGTGTCTTCTAATGTCACAAAAATATCGGAAAACTTGACTGAGCGTTCAGTCAAAAATGCACTAAGTGCTGTAAGCCTGAGTTAATGGCCAAGTGGATACATTTTGGGAGGTAGCAAAAGATGAGGCTGCGGTTGCCTGGAATGGCATTGGAAGGCTACTTGCATTTTTATGGGGCAAAAGGCCTGATTAAGGAAAGCTAGTGTGGCTGAAACAGAGAATTTAACAGAGCAAATATTTGGAAATAATTCTGGCATGGTTGACTTGAGTAAAAAGAACTAACATTTGAAGCCAGCTTAAGGAATTAGGATTCAGGAATGTTTGTAAAATCTGCATCATAACCCTATCGAAAAATTGAAAGAATGGCTCAGTAACGTGCCCACGGTTACTAAGTGGCTGAAATGGGCTGTGAATGCAGGAGCATAGCTTCAGAATCCATGCTGTGAACTACTGTACCTTCCAGCCTCTTGGTAAAAGAGGGTTATTAGTGGCAAGTAAAGAGAGTGTTGAGCAGTGGTTGATGGGTGTCAGCACAGAGGAAGCTGAGAAGCTTACGCAGAACAGAAGCATGGGGCAGAGCGGGAGGGAGTGTGAAAGCGCATTAGAGGCAAGAGGGTAGAGACCTTGTTCATTGTGATCCTGAAATAATGGAGCTGTTGAGCAAGGAAAGGCCAGAATCACTGAGGGAGGAAAGTAGGATGTCAATTGAGCTTTATAGAAAGAAAGGAGCAGCAGCAAAAAGCACAGCCCTTGCTCAGAGGCAGAGCCCAGAGTTCTAGAAGGCAGCCAGTGGAATTCGCAAACCTTAACTCTCACTGCATGATACGAGGAAACGACAATACGGATACAAGCCCTAGCACTGGTAGGGGAGAGCTCTGCGTGGTTCAAACTCTCAGAAAGTTTCACTGAGCATAGCGGTTTATTTCTTCAGAGCAGAGATCCCAAGGGGTTGGGAAGCCCAGAGAGAGGTGATGGATGGTGAAGCAGCCCTGACATTCATTGAATCCCTACCATGAGGGTTGGCCAGGCACCCTGGAGTGTGCAGGTCCCAGTGAGGGGTATAGAGAGACCTCCTGGAAATGAAAGCTCGTAGTGCACCCCCAATATACTAAATACTTTCATTGATAACTTTAACTCCAGTGATTCAACTCTTCTGAATGATTTAATAATTGACTGCAAAGTTATTTGGCAATCGATATCACACTGTTTGTTGTAATCTCTTGTGTTATCTTCTGTTAGTATTTATACTTTGTTTATTATTAAAATTTTTTATTTTCACATGCTTTATATTCTCAACCAGATTGTAAATTCAAGTCAGAAACCATGTATCACACTAAACTTCTTTGTATTTTCTATGTGTAGTACCTGGTACAGTGTTCTCAATAACTGCTGAATGGTCAGTGAACAGATGAATGAGTATTGATGCATGTTGCAGATAAATACATGGAAAATATTTACTGATATTCAGTTATCTACCAAGCACCAAATTGGTTACTAGGAGATTGAGTCTAACTGAGTATAATATTTGGCTTAAACAAGCTTACAAGCCCCATATGGGAGAAGAGATGTAGTAGATCAATAAAAGGGTGTTATTTTACTGAACAATATCCTAGATGTATAAAGATTGTATATTTTAAAGCCTTAAATAACTTATTCAGAAATTGTGGGGTTTTTTGCTATTTTATCTGAAATATATTTAAAAGACCTTTCTAGATCTTCAGTGACTAATATTAATGAGATTAAAATAAGGTTTGACATAGAAATTGTTGAATCTTGATAAGCGCTAGATGTGGATAATGGGTGTATAACCATGATACAAATAAAAAATAAGAGGTCACAAATAACATTAACAGAAAAGCCCCATTACTTATAAAATAGAAACTGGTCTTAAAGCCTGATTTTGTTTTCAGATTGAAGACGCTCAGGTTCAAGACACTGGTCGTTACACTTGTGAGGCAACGAATGTTGCTGGGAAAACTGAGAAAAATTATAATGTTAATATTTGGGGTAAGTGTGATCAGTTCCTGCAAAGCAAATGATGCAGCATGCGGTTTAACCTTTTATTCTGTGTTTCAACTCTTAAAATGACATCCACATACCTAAAATTGATCATAATACATAGATGGACATGAATCAATATGCTTAGATGATTCTAAACTGCCCTGAATATCAGCTCATATAAATTCAAGAGCAACTATAGATAGACTCTTAGAACCTAAGTGTATTAGACATAAACTACAAAGTGTACTTTATAAATTCCTCTAATAGAGGAAAACAGAATACAGTAGATGTAAGAATGAATGGGAAGAAAATGTTAAGATATCAAGGATAGATTCACTAAAAAATATTACACTTTGCTTCTGTGTTCTAGGCACTATGCCTAGAGAGGTTATTGAGAAAAGACAGTGCCACTGTTTGGATAGAACTTATGTTCTGCTGGTCTAGGAATAGCTTTCAATAGCCAGTTTGAATTTTGTAAGAGCTATTGTAGAAAGTTTTATAAGAAAACATATCAGGGGCTCGTGATATCTACTTGGGTTGTTAAGGATGAGTAGGCATTCGCTCTGACAGAGAATGGAAGCATTACAAACCTGAAGAATACTGCCTGCGTTCAGTTCCCCAAACATCATTCAGTATGGAGCCTAGGGTGGTGCAGAGGAGAGTGAGAAGATGTTATGTAGGAAAGGTTGAATGGGGCATGTGGAAGAGGGTCTCTAAAATGAATTTTAAAAGTATGGATTGGTTTTAAAGGTGATACAATGGCATTAAAGAGATTTAAAGGAGGCATGAGGTGTTCAGATCTGTACTCTAGGAAGAAAGAAGCAGATGAATTCTAGAAGTATTTAAGGAATTGAGTTACTAGGATTAATTGGTAAGTGGAGAGATGTGGAAACGAGGAGTCAAGGATGGATGTCAGTATGGGTTGGCCATCTGGGCTGTGTGGACAGTAGTGACCTTCCCTCAGAGAGGGAACAAAGATGACTGAGTTTGTTTCCAGGCAAGCCAACTTTGACAGCGCCTCTAGGAAGGCATCCAAGTTGAGATGTTAAGTAGCCAGAGGGGGTCTGCATTACAGGTACAGGTTTGCAAGTATTTGTATTAATGGAAGCCGTGGGAGCGGAAGAGGGTAGAGTTTAGGTTGGCGATCATGAATTTATAGTGGTGGCAATTCATGTAATTGTCACTTTCTTCTGTAGAACTTTCCATCTGTTGGTATTGGTGATGACTATAAGATTCATCCAGGGTAATATAGTGTTACCAACTGGAAAGGTTACAAAGCAGTTGAGGATATTGGCAAAGGAGTAGTTGAAATTATGGGTCATGAAATCTAAGCTGAATAGAGAAGTCAGTTAACAAAAGAGTAAGCAGTGAGATACGGAGACTTCTGAGAGGTGAAAGGACTTGAGATTCAACTGGGTTGATGAATTGAGAATTGGGGAAAAGTATATGAAAGAGCTCTAAGGATGGAGTAGTTGTCAGAGAGTAGCCTAAAGCTATAAATTTATAAGAGAATGTTCTAGATGATGAAAAAGCCTTGGATGGAGAAAGGGATGAGCAGATCAATGAACTGAGTAGCCGGGGTGCTTAGTTCCTACAGGAGGATGGCAGGTCTTCATGCGAAGAGGAGGGGTAGAAACAATGGAGAGATGTAAGCTGGTGGCCTGAGCCTCAAGAGCATAGGGCTATCGTGGGGCGGTTGAGCAATGACTGGAAGCTGCTTTGGGAGGCGAGGAGGATTCTCCCACAGCTGCACTCGCACGGCCATCTGCCACCTGATAATCCTGCGGCCAGAGGAGTGGCCGAGGGGAGAGTCCGGCCAGCACGTGCAGACTCGGCCCCTGAGACAATCTCGGGTAGTCAGGATTCACTTCTCAAGCTCCAAGGAGAAGCTGGAGTCCAGTGGGAGGCAGGCTGTGCAGTCTAGTACAGATAACAGGTGTGTTTCTGAGATCAAATCCCTTGCCTCCCTTCTTTACTGTGTGTTATATGCCTGTTGTTTTCCAGTTCTGTTCAGCCTCTGAGATATCAAAGCTGGGTAGGTGCCACGACTGGGCTAGGTTTATACTTGGTAAGTGACTTAGCTTTTTGGTGCAAGATGTCTAAATATCTATAACAAACTAGCTTCTATTTATGCCACTCTCAATAGTTTGATAATTAAGTTTCTATCTGTGAAAATGGGAAGTCTGCTATTAGGTATGTAGGGTTCGTCTTACCGTGGTCTTTTAATGTGGTGTGGATATGTCAACCTCAGGTGCTAATTATTTTCTTTGTCAGTTGAATGCAACCTTTTTTTTAAAACACATAAAGTATTAGGGAACTTTTGTATTAAATGAGTGTGAAAATAGTATTTTGTATTTCTCTTTTTTTTATCTTTCAGTGCCACCAAATATATATGGTTCTGATGAACTTGCTCAGCTTACAGTTATTGAAGGGAGTCTCATCAGCCTACTGTGTGAATCGAGTGGCATCCCACCCCCAAATCTCACTTGGAAGAAGAAAGGTCGGTTTTCATCCTGTAACATTTATAAAATTAAATATAATTTAGATGAATTTACATTTTATCTTACAAATATGTTAATTTATTAACAAACTTTCCAAGGGTTTGCATACTAAAATACCAGGTAGCATAATAAATACTCAATGCACAATGTGATACTTCTGCACTGTCCAGCTGAAAAGCTTCGCTGCCCCTCAGGAAGAAAAATCGCATTGTTCTTTAGTCAGGGTAGCTGTAATGATCAAGAATCCACCATTCAAAGAATTCTGAATTTTCCTTAAAGCAAACATTTTCGCTATGTTTGTGACAGTTTTGTAATGTGTGTTGGGATTCATTTCTGCAGCTGGACAAGATTTTCAATTTATTCATCGACCGATATTTATGTGCATCCGTTAAGTATCAGACAGATCCTCTAAATGTTTAGCTGACCTTAAAAATCATTTTTGTTTTCCTGTTTCAATATTTAATTTTGCTTGCGTTTCTAAGGATGTTTTCTTTCAAGTGCAATATTGGTTGAAAATTTACCAAAATGTTGCTGCTTTTCTTGGTAAACGTTTCCCCCTTCCTCCTTCCTCTGTTCCCCATCCTGCTCTTATCCCTGTGCTAATTCTCATTCCTCCTTTCCCAGGTGGGGTTACTTTACAGTGTCACCTGCCTTTTAGGAGCTTGAGCTGGAAGTCAGCAAATAAGTATATACACTTATCAGGAGATGCATGCACAGTGCTTATTTCCATTGCTTCATTCATGTCCTGCCATTTGGTTTCCTCTGTAGGCTCCCCGGTGCTGGCTGACTCTGCGGGGCGGGTCAGAGCTTTGTCTGGAGGCAGACAGTTGCAGATCGGAGTTGCTGAAAAATCCGATGCAGGGCTTTATACGTGTGTGGCATCGAATGTTGCTGGAACGACACAGAAAGACTACAATCTGCAAGTGTATAGTAAGTGATTGATTAGCCAGGCCTTGGCACAGTTGTCTTTTAAATATTCCCATCTTTCCCTTTTACCTTTTCTTCATAACTTTGAGATACATTCCGAGTTATATGGTTGTAATATACCTGTCGTAAGGCCCACAAATTTAAATTGTGCTGACACAATCAGAGATCAGTTGCTTATTTGTGGCTGTTATTTATTCAGCAGTTCAGCTGCCCACTCTGTATCAGCTTGGTGGTGGCGGGCACGTGAATGTGGCTGTAATTTGTTGGGGGCAGGATAATGGACGTATGAGATGAGGAGGGATGACACTGTACCATAGAGTATATGTATAATATGTAGAAATATATCATTTTAAAGAATAATTTGTATAAGATTTTAAAGTGCTTAAAATATGTAATTATCTCATTTAATCTTTACCTGAGTTGTGATATGAGGCAAAACTATTGCCTGCCCCCATTTTGCGTTAATGAAAACATAAGCCCCAAGATGATTCAATGAGCAGCTGAAGTCCCATGCTTTGTAATGTGGTAGGAATGGCACTAGAACACAGGATTGCTAACACCGGCCCACACACATATGTATTAGAGTTGGTGAAATTTTCTTTCTTGGAATCAGTATCCATTAGGTGAATTCAGCTGCACAGTTACAGAGTAACTGGTGATTAGTGCCTTAAACAAGTAGAGGTTTATTTTGGCACATAATGAGAGGCCTGAGGTTGGTCAGCACCTAAACAAATGAAAAAAATCAGAACTAAAAGTTACAACTTTTAGAACAGAAATTCAGAGGATCCCCAGAGATTACCACAGTAATTGTATGCCATAAGATTGGACAACCTGAAAGAAATCGACAAATTCCTAGAAACATACGATCTTTCAAGATTGAATCATAAAAAAGTGGAAAATGTGAATAGACGGATTACTAGTAATGAGACTGAATCAGTAATAAAAAACTCCCAACAAACAAAAATGTTCCAACCAAAGAGGACCATCTGGTGAGTTCACTGGTGAATTTTACTATTTAAAGATTTAAATACCTTTCCTTCTCAAACATTTAAGTGGAGGCAATGATACCAAAACCATATAAGGGCACCACACTNTTACTAGTAATGAGACTGAATCAGTAATAAAAAACTCCCAACAAACAAAAGTGTTCCAACTCAAGAGGACCATCTGGTGAGTTCACTGATGAATTTTACCATTTAAAGATTTAAATACCTATCCTTCTCAAACTTTTCCAAAACATTTAAGTGGAGGCAATGATACCAAACCCATATAAGGGCACCACACACACAAAAATTTACAGACCAATATCTTTAATGAACATAGATGCAAAAATCTTCAACACTAATTTGAAAAGATATGTACACCCCTGTGTTTATTGCAGTATTGCTTATAATAGCCAAGATATGGAAACAACCTAAGTGTTCATCAATGGATGAATGGATAAAGAAGATATGGTACATGTATACAATGGAATACTACTCAGCCATGAAAAAGAGTGAAATCTTACCATTATTACATAGATGGATCTGAGGTTATTTTGTGAAGTGAAATAAATCAAATGGAGGAAGAGAAATATTGTATGATTTCACGNCTCAGCCATGAAAAAGAGTGAAATCTTACCATTATTACATAGATGGATCTTGAGGTTATTTTGTGAAGTGAAATAAATCAGATGGAGGAAGAGAAATATTGTATGATTTCACTCATATGTGAAACCTAAAAAACTAAAAAGGAAGAAAACAAACAAAAGTAAACAAAAACAAACTCGTAGATACAGAGCACAGATTGGTGGTTACTGAAGGGGAAGGTGCTGGGGGGGAGGGGTGTGTGAAATGGGTGAAGGGGATCAGTTTTATGGTGAAAGATGGTAACTAGATTTTTTATGGTGATCACTTTGTAGTGCATGCAGATGCAAATTACAGTGTTGTACACTTGAAACTTATATAATGTTATATACCAATTATACCTCAGTAAAAAAAAAAAGTTATGTGTTTCCTTTTTATCAGGAGAGCTAAATGTTCCCAGAATCCATAGCTCCCACCCCCTGCCAGCAGACCTTTATTTAGATTTTATTGGCCTGAATAGATTCAGTGGCCACTTGAGTTTTCAGAGGAAACTGAGAAATAGTTTCAGCTTTTCCAACTCCTGTAGCGGAAAGTGGAAGGAAGAAAGGAATTGGTAATTGATGTTGGCTTGTGAGCTAAGCTACCATATCTACTTTAAAATTAATACTACAAAGTCTTCTGCAGATGATACGCTCAGATAGTTGTATAACTTCTCAGAAGCAGGGAAAGTAGCAAGCACAACATTATTTTTTTTACTGTGTTACTAGGTTTATGTTAGATATGAACCCATTTAGAAACAATGGAGAATTCTGCCTCTCAGTATAGCTGTGCCACCTCTGTTAATCTTAGACCTTCCTCTAGCAGTTAATCTTTTGACATAAAAAATGAATTTAAAATCAACGAACAGTAAGTGTTGATGAGGGTNAACGATAAGTGTTGATGAGGGTATGGAGAAAAGAGAATGCTCCTTTACTTTTGGTGGGAATGCAGATTGGTTCAGCCACTGTGGAAAGCAGTATGGAGGTTCCCCCAAAAATGAAAAGTGGNTTTGGTGGGAATGCAGATTGGTGCAGCCACTGTGGAAAGCAGTATGGAGGTTCCCCCAAAAATGAAAAGTGAAACTGCCTTATGACCCAACAATTCCATTCTCCATATATATCCAAAGAAACTCAAAACACTAATTCAAAAGAATATATGCACCCTTATGTTCAACATTATTTATAATAGCCAAGCTATGGAAGCAACCCAGGTGGCCATCAATAGACGAGTGGATAAAGAGGTGGTACATATATACAGTGGAATATTAGTCAGCCATAAAAAAGAATGAAATTTTACCATTTGCAACACCATGGATGGACCTAGAGGATATTATTCTAAGTGAAATAGACAAAGAAAGACAAATAGCATATGCTTTCAGGTATATGTGGAATCTAAAGAACAAAAGAAAGAAACAGACAAAATAGAAACAGACTCATAGATACAGAGAACAGGTGGAGGCTGCCAGAGAGGAGGGGCATTGGGGGGCTGGGTGAAAAAGGTGAAAAGATTAAGAACTATGCACTGGTAGTCACAAAGTAGTCATGGGGATATAAAGTACAGCATAAGGAATGTAATCAATAATATTGTAATAACTGTGTATGGTGCCAAGTGGGTACTTGAAATATTGGGGGGACACTTTGCAAAGTATATGATTGTCTAACCACTATGCTATACACTGGAAACTAATACAGAATAATACTGAATGTAAACTATAATTGAAAAATAAAATTTGTAAAGGATTAAAGGTTGCCAAGGCTCTGGGGGAGGGAGGGATAAATAGGCAGAGCCCAGAGGATATTTAGGGCAGTGAACTATTCTGAATAATGTAATAATGGTGGATATATGTCATCATACATTTGTCAAAATCCATAGAATATACAACCCCAAGAGTGAATTGTAGTGTAAACTATAGACCTTGAGAAACCATGATATATCAATGTACATTCATCAGTTTAAACACATGTGCCACCGTGGTCCATGATGTCGATATTTGGGGAAGCTGTGTTGGGGCAGAGTATATGGGGACTCTGTATTTTCTGCACAGTTTTGCTATAAACTTAAAACTGCTCTAAAAAAAATAAAATCTATGTTTGTAAAAAAAAAAATGAATTTAACTTTGGCTGGTGAAAATTTCTATATAAAACTTAAAAATTTTTCCTATTTTATCTTTTCTGTCTTTTTTTAAATCCAGTTCGACCAACCATATCCAACAGCGGCAGCCACCCCACCGAAGTTATTGTGACTCGAGGAAAGAGTATTTCCCTGGAGTGCGAGGTGCAGGGTGTCCCTCAGCCGACAGTGACCTGGATGAAAGATGGGCGCCCCTTGACCAAGGGAAGGGGAATGGAAATACTGGATGAAGGTCGCACCCTTCAGCTGAAGAATATTCATGTCTCTGACACAGGCCGTTATGTGTGTGTTGCTATAAACGTGGCAGGAATGACTGACAGAAAATATGACTTAAGTGTACATAGTAAGTATAAAGGAGCCCCGTACGTCTGTTCGCTGGCTGATATAATCTACAGGATCCTGGGTGGGAGATACAGGCCTTGAGTGTTGAGTCTTTTCTGTATAGATGTTATTTCCCACATCTGCACCACTTCTCTAGATCCGTCTCATCACTTATCCGGCAGACCACCCATTTCTCACTTTAATGAATAAGCATGTATTAGATATTCTTTTAGGAAAGCACATAGTGAGATAGATAATGGTCATTTTCAAGTGCTTTGGGTTCAGTGATATCCCAACTGGTATTCTTTGACTTTCTGTTTTCCGAATTAGCTATCTTGGCTCGTGTAAACCTAGGCTCCTTGGAGCTTACTGACTCAGCGTCAGTTGGTCATGAGTTCTACTGAAGTCAGCTTTAATGTTCTAATTAATGAGTCATAAATGTCCTTAGGAAGAGACCAGACACATCTGTTCTCAGGGATACTTATATAACTTGAATTGCACATTTTGGATCCGTAGACACAATGATAAATTTAATAGACACAGTCTTACAACTCGAATCCAGTTAGGACTCACACAAAGTCCAGTATTAATGTCCTATAGTTTGCAGCTTAATGGGTGAGCCAAAGCCAATGAAATCGGAATGTGGAAGAGAAAAGGAATCAATCTTAAGTATCTTTTTATGAAGTTACTTTTAATATGTAGGATTAGGATAATTTGCTAGAAAATCCTGCCTATAAGGCCATGAATCCATATTTGTCAGAAAAGATGAGTGATTCATAGAAAATCGCTCACCTCCATTCGAGTAATAACATCAAAGTCATTTATTGCTATTAGTGGAGGAGTAACACTTTTACTTCAGAGAATGTCATGCTAAAATACTACTACTACTACCACGACTGTCCTTGACGTGGTACATATTTTGTTTATCGTTGACCAGAAAATGGAAGTCATATTATTAACAATAAACTGTTGAGGATTGGGTGTTTCATACATATCAGCTACCTGCCTTTCCATCTCCTGTTTGTTTTGCTTTGTCTTGCAGCCCCTCCAAGCATCATAGGAAACCACGGGACACCTGAAAATATCAGTGTGGTGGAAAAAAACTCAGTGTCCCTGACTTGTGAAGCTTCAGGAATCCCTTTGCCTTCAATTACCTGGCTTAAAGATGGGTGGCCCATCAGCCTTAGCAGTTCCGTGAGAATTCTCTCAGGTATGAGAAGGTCTCCTATTCTCATCATCTGGTTATCTTCACGTGGCCATAGTTTCTCCTTAATTTTCTCATTTCTTCCTGTCTTACCTTTCTTTCTGATATAGCTGCTCACTGTAATACCCATTGATCATATTAAGAAAAAAAAATATCTAGAAGGACATCAGAAGTTATTGGAAAAGGGGAAAATCTCCAAATTACCTCTAGATCGTTTTACAAAAGAAATCTTGGCGCTCGCTTATTACTTAAATTATGGTGATGTCAGAGCAGTCACGCTACAGTGAGTACCAACCAATTTGAAACGTGAAGAATGGAAAGAAATACTAAAATTGAAACCAGAATCTAGAGAGATTCATTTTGTGTAGGATGCCCCCATAAGCAAGTATTTCACCTTGTTCACGACTCTAATTTGAGTGAGTTTTATATTTATGAGAGAGACTAGTTTACTGTGAGCTAAGACTTTATTATTGTAAAGAAGATATTCAGCTTATTCTTCATCTAATTAGGTAGGAAAATCTACCGGCTTCTCCTTTATGGGTCCGTGTAAGTGTGCAGAGAGGTGTCTTGGGGCATGCCACGGGGATCTGCACTCGGCCCCTTTCTGTAATGACTTGGATACACACTAAGAAGATACTCTTGCCAAGTCTGTGGTTAATAAAAAGCTTGGATACTTAGAAAAATACCTAATGTGTTGAATGGAGACATCCGAATTCAAACGCACCTCATGAACTTTGGAGTTTAACCTAACAAAATGAAAGTTAAATAAACTCCTGCGCTGAAGTTCAAAAGCCAATGATGAAAACTTGGGTGATTCTTCAGATGAAAAGCTTTCTGAATTGTGTTTTTCATTCATTGTGCATTGACCATGTATTGTGGTTATCAAGAAAATAAATGCAATGTTTTGCCACATTAACAAAATATGTTTTCACTGGTAAGAAAAGTAAGAGACCACTTGTACTCTGGATTTAACTCACTTATTAGGAAAACTAGGAGGATCTATTGACAATATTTTTTTAAGGAAGGTAACCATGATAGTCAGTGATTACAAAATAATTTATGTCTGATCTTATTGAACCTGGAAAAATAAACCCTATGCAACCTTACGCTCACATAGTGAAAACCGAAATTAATTTAAATAGTTGAAGAGCCTTGATATAGAAGAAGATTATGTTGGTTCTGTCTAGTTCCAGAGGTAGAAAATCGTGCCAATGTAAGGAAGCTTCTAGGGACAAATTTGGGTTTGAATAGAAAGAACTTTAAAAATGTATATTGTTTAAAGTCAAGATTAGCTGTTTTAATAGGTAGTGAGCTCCCTGCCCCTAAATTAGTTCAAAAATTAAATTCCCACTTTTGAAGGCTTATGCAGAAAAGATTCTTTTCTAGTGTTTGAATTACGTCTAAATATCCTAAGGTTCCTCAGTTTCTTCAAGATCTTACTCTATAAATGATAGGGGCTTGATGAGGAATATACATTGCTAGTAACCTCATTTATTGCCTATAATACTCACCTTATGACCTCAGGCAAGTTACTTGACTTTGCTCGAGTGAGTTTCTTTACTGGAAAAGTGAAGGTATTAATAGAATTGTCCTCTTAGAGTTTTTGGAAAGATGAAATGAGTCATTGTATGTAAAGCAATGAACACAGGGCCTGCTCATAGGGTAAGCATCCAGCACGTGTTTTTGTTATTACCACAGACGACCTGATGAAAAGTGTGTGCACTCCCTGACCTGGGAGCCGGTCCTATGTCCTCAGTATGATGCTTTCATTGTCATGGACTCCCAGGCCCTGCTGGTATTGGGAAACAATAATAGCCAAGGTTTTATTACAATTTGGTTACCCAAAACCTGAACACATTATCTTTGTGTCTTGAAATTATTCTCATATTTTTTCCTGTTTTTCCCTAATTCCCAATTGCTTAAAAAGCAAGAATTCTCACTAACTATAATCACTACATCAGAACTCCTAGAGATGAAGAAGGCAGGACAGAGCGATGTCCTCTGGCTTGTAGATGCACAGGAGTGGTGGTGGGGTGTTCTTTCGTTTTGTTCTGCTTGACCAGCAGCTGGCGATCCCTGAGTGAACACAGTAAAAGTATTTCACCTCGTGGCTCTGCCAGAGGAGTCATTCAGTTTTACGGCCTGACATGTGTGCTGTGCAGTAGATGAATGAAAATCAGATGAATGGCATATGACTCGCTTGGTCCTGCGTCCGCTGCACACTTCAGTTTCATTAAGATTCGTTCTCCTGAGACTTCAAGCACAGCTTTTCTGAAAGCAGGGCTTCGGGGAAGTCTCTATTATTGCTACGACGTTATGTGCCAAGAAGAGATAACTGCTATAAAAATTTAATAGGTACAAGAAACGTCTCTGTATAAGTATAACTAACTGTCAGACCCATTCCCTCCCCCCCTCCACTGGATTAAGTGAGAGACCAGGAGAAAAAGAGAAATCATGAGACTCATGAGGTTGAGGTTTGCCGAGCCAGCAATGACTCATAAAAGTTGGACTGTTTTAATATCTCTCAACTGGAACTGCAATATGGTTACACTAATCTGAAGTAGCAGCCAGTGCTTGAATCTTTTCCTAATGAATACAAGTCTTTGACATGTTTAGATAATTTCTTTATTCAACTTTGCTTATGTAAATTCGGTTGGGGGGAAAAAAAGACCAAATTCAGGTAATCAGCTTTGTCTGTCTAAATAAGATACTAAGTTGACCTTTCAGCGGTTTGAGGATGGGAAGGTTGCTTATTGGAAAACTCAGTGACATCCTGTGTGTTTTAGAAACTGGAAAGGAAATGGAAACTCCTGGCAAATTTAGATTCGGGTGAATATTTACATTAAAAATTCCATGTTTAATCATTTTGATTTTTTTCGTTTAGATTCAGGGTGCTAAGCAAAAATATACCAGCTAGAAAATTATTACAAAATATATGAAATGGTGTGCATTTTTTACCTAGACTCTGCTCCTTCGGTAGTTTCGAGAACTCGAGTCCCTTGGGTGTCTCTTGGTTCCCTCGCAGACTTAGCTTCGGCCTGGTCTGCTTGCTCCTCCCTCTTCTTTTGCCCTCAATGGCGTTTCCCTCCAAATTACACCCTTCAGGATGTCAGAGTTTCATTCTCAGTCTAAATATATTTCTGGGGTGAAGAATCTTTCTTCATCGCATAGCAGTTCAAAATATAAAAACAAAAGCAGGATGGCACTAGCAAATGAGGTGACCCCTGCCCCCCACGTAAATTTTGATATAAATAATTCTAGGATTCCACGAAGCTCAGTTGAAAACTGGTGGCCAGGCTTCATGGTCTCAGCCATCCCTTACGTATTATTGTCACCCATATCTGGGTTGCTGGTGCACTGTCCTTTCTAACATTCCCATTTTATGTATTCAGTGGCCAACTGGGAGTTGTTTCTCTAAACATCCTGTCACAGTTGTCTTTCTAAAGCACAGATCATCAGGTCATGACCTTTTTTTTGTTTATACGCTTCCCTAGCCTTCAGTGACCACGAAGTCTAGATTCCTTAGCATTGCTTTCAAGGGCTCACAGAATCTGGCCACACTCCATCGAGACTCATCTGTCACCATTTTCTCCACCTGCCCTGCTTCAGGTGCCACCCCTCACATCTGCTGTAGACCCTGCCTACAGTGAAGCCTCTCAGCTCCTCTGTGGACTGAAGTACACTTACCTTGTAAGGTTGTGCTCAGTCATCACCTTGTGACACTCCATTCTTGCTTGCTGTCACTTAGCATTGTATTTAGTTTTTTATCCATCAATCCAGAAAATTCTTCTGAATTACCTATTTTGTTTCACATAGGCTTAAAACGTGATTTTTAAAAAAAATTGTCATCAGTTCATTTAAAGACCTTCGAAGCATATTGGTTAAGTTTAACCTATATTGAACATCACTTGGACCGCTGGTCAAGTGTCAGGTTTCTTTTTGCGTCACCTGGCGGTTTGCTTCTGTAGGCGGGAGGACCCTGCGGCTGATGCAGACCAGAATGGAAGACGCCGGCCAGTATGCCTGTGTCGTAAGGAATGCCGCTGGTGAAGAGAGAAAACTCTTCGGGCTTTCAGTGTTAGGTATTTATATAATTTGCACTCTCTAGGAAAAAATCTAACTGGCTCAAATGCCTTCTAGAATCAGAGTCAAAATTTACCTACAGCTTGATCTCACATTTATGTATTCTTTGGCCTCTGGACTGTCACTGTTGACAAGAATTCAGTGTTAGGATGATTTGGAGGTAATCAGTTGCACTAAATGGGTAAAATTTCATGTTGTTTGTTCACAGTTGTTCAACAATATGCTAAGACTCTCCGTTAACTTGTTTAATGTGAGTGCTGCTTACAGTTAAAGTGGGAAAAATAAAGGACTAATAAATGTTCTTATCCACTGATTTGTTGACATTTTAATCTAGACTTTATGATTTACATTACAATAAAATACATTATATAATTGAATTCATGACATATCACTTTATAATATATCTTAAAATTAGAATTGATCAAAATAATATGACATAATTCTAATAATCAATGAGAATTTGGGGTTATGCTGTAAAGGTTATAACTTAATGAAAATATAAACCTAAATGTCTCTAAAATAACATTCCAGGGGTTAGAATTGTTACTGTTTCTATTTGGGTTTTTGTGTTGTTTTTTCAGTACCACCTCGCATTGTGGGTGAGAACACGTTGGAAGATGTGAAGGTAAAAGAGAAGCAGAGCGTTACACTGACATGTGAAGTGACAGGTAAGGGACTCAGCCCTCCCGCTTCTACTGTTCCCCCCTCACTGATTAGCCGTCGCCACCACCACATATCTTAATTAGCTGAGAAATATTCAAGCTGCTGTAATGCGTCTGAAAGTGAATTCTAGTCCAGTATAGCTGGTAGAAATGTGGGGGGAAAACTCTCAGATTCTGGGGAGATAAAAAGGAAATTCCTTCATGGAAGGAAGGCGGGGAGGGAGGAAGAGAGGAAGGAAAGAAAAAGGAAGGACATTCTGGCCTTTTCTTTCAATTCAATAAATTAATCTTTTGTAATCTGCTATTTGAATGTAGGGCTTCTCTGCCCCACCCCCCACCTCCTCTTATTTTTTCTTCACTGTTGGTGGAGGTTGTACCTTCCTTTTCATTTTCTGTTCTCTTAAATTTCACTTCAAGTAAATAACTAGTAGTTTTGGTGGAAGGATGGCATTATTGATAGTGGGGATTACCCCAAAACAAAGTGTCACCTTTTGTTAACATGTTTAATTTCCATGTTTTTATTTGTGAATTTTCCAGCTTTCCTCCTGTTGTTGATTTCTAGTGTCAACCATCATGGTCAGAAAAGATACTTGGTATGGTTTCAATCATCTGAAATTTGCCAAGACTTGTTTTTTTGGTCTAACATCTGATCTATCCTAGGAAATGTTCCATTGCCCTTGAGAAGAATGTGTATTCTGCTGTTGTTGGATGGAATGTTCTGTGCATCTCTGTTAGGTCTATGGTGTTTTTTCAGATCCTCTGTTTTGTTACTGATTCATTCTCAGACTAATCCACTATTCATCGTGGAGAGTGGGGTATTAAAGTCCCCAACTGTTATTGTACTGCTGTTTATTTTTACTTTTAGTTCTGTTAGTATTTGCTTTTTATATTTAGGTGCTCTGATATTGGGTGCATGGATATTTACTATTATATCTTCTTGATGGATTGACCCCTTTTTTGTTGTATAATAACCTTCTTTGATTTTTTTGACCACTTTTAGCTTAAAGTCTATATTGTCTGATATAAATATAGCTACCCTTGCTTTCTTTTGATTACCGTTTTCTTGAAATATCTTTATATATCTGTTGACTCTCAGTCATATTTGTCTTTAAAGCTAAAGTGAGTTTCTCATAGGCAGCATATTGTTACATTTGTTTTGTTATCCATTCAGCCATTCTGCCTTTTGATTAAAGATTTTAATCCATTTACATTTAAAGTAATTATTGATAAGCAGGGACTTACTATTGCCATTTTGTTAATTGTTTTGTGATCCTGTGTTCCTTCTTATCTTGCTCTTATTTTGTGATTTGATGACTTTGGAAAGTTCACAGATTCTTTCTCCTGCTTGATCAAGTCTGTTGTTGAAGCTCTCTTAAATTCTCCCATTCAGTCATTCTATTCTTCAGCTCTGGGATTTGTTAAAATAAATATAAAATATATTTACCTATAGACTATAAATATTAAAGGAATGATTATTATATATCTCTATTTTCTTATCTATATAGCTATGCGGGAATTCTGTTATAACTCAAAATATCTGTTTATTGAATTATTTAATTAAAGGTTTTCCCTTTTTATAGCTATCTCTCAAAATTATGGAAATATTTAAAAATTTAATATGAATGCAAAGGTATTTGTGAGTAATAATTTTAATAAAAATACATACTCCATTCTTTTTAAGTGTATCTTGTCTTTTTAAGTGTATGAAGATATTTCATTATAGTAGTATATAAATTTAAACATGAAGACTAATTTTGAATTATTTCACTTATAGATAAAAATTAATCTTCATTGGAAAATTATTTTTAATCTTTGTACATTTTTTAATCGTAGCATGATTATAAAACATAAATTAGGTTATGTCTGACATTTATTTTGGAATGAACGGTTACTGCATTGTTTTCAAAGTGGGATGTTTAAAAAGGCAAATGAGTGAGATGCCTTCTTTCAGTTATTCCTCGTAGGCATGTGATTATAGCCAGCTCTCAGAAATGGCTTTTTGTTACAGGGAATCCAGTTCCAGAAATTACATGGCACAAAGATGGGCAACTCCTCCAAGAAGATGACACCCATCACAGTATGTCTGGTGGCCGTTTCCTTCAAATTACCAATGCCCAAGTGTCACACACTGGCAGATACACATGTTTGGCTTCTAACACAGCTGGTGACAAGAGCAAAAGTTTCAGCCTTAACGTGTTGGGTAGGTAAAGCATTGCTTCAGAGGTTGAAGCATCAGGCATGACTATTGGCTAAATTCTCTTCTTTTTCTGTTTACTTACTATTTCTACCATTGAATTTCATTACTTAAGGAGGACCAGTGCTTGTGGACATTTGCTGTTTTTTTTAAAAAATAAATCTTCCTAGTTACTTACCTATTTCTGGTCATTCTCCCTCATTCATTGAAGACTGAGGGATCTGCATCGAAGCTTTCTTTTCTACCAACACCATAGAATTGAGAGTGCTAAGCGTGTGTGTCTGCAGCTTCCAGTCCGCCCAGCCTTAATTCAGTGCCTCTACCCTTTCTTCGCCCAGGTGATGAGCTACCCTTATTCTTGGTTACTGCTTGCACATGTGCCCTTGACCCTGTACTTTCTACCTTCTTTGATGTGTCAGCCATTCCAGTCACCCTCCTTAGCTACGACTTCACCTTCTACTGTGTCCATCACTTCATAGTGTAACCACTCCCTGCTCACAGTTCTTACCCCACTAAAAACAGGCTTCTGCCCACACCATGATTCACACTGCTATGGCAACGACTACCCTGCGGCTAGATCCAACAATTATTTTTCAGTCCTTCCCTTCATGGTTTGGACGTTATTTATCACTTTGCCCGTGACAGTGTTCTTCTCTGCTTATCCTTGCTCACCTTTGGGTGCTCCCTTTCTCTGCCCTTTATGGACTCTTATGTAACCTCTCTCTTACACAGGAAGTCCCCATCTCTTTGTCCTTACTTCACTGCTCATTGTACTCCAGGTATTCTCTCCAAGTAATAAACTTAATTCCCAGAGGTTTAATTATCCTATAGACTGGTGACTTTTTAATCCATACCTGTAATCCAGATCTTTCTCCCAAGGTTTGGATATCTATATACAATGGCTTATTGGACATTTCTACCTGGAATTCTCATGGGCACTAAAAATTCAAGATATTCAGAACTGAACAAAAGGTCTTTTCCTCCTAACTGAGCAAATCTTTCCATAGTTTCCATTTAGGTTGCTTTACTGCAGTTTATCTAGACTCCCAAGCAAGCAAACCGGAAAATATCTTTGACTTTGGTTTCCCATAACCCCGAAATTCTATCAAGTCCCACCAGTTGACTTCCTAAATACTTCTTTAGTTGCTCCCTCCTCTTTATGCTTCCTTTAAATGCTCTAATTCCATCCCTCATTGTCTTTTATGAAAGAGATGTACCTGTCTCGGTTACCCTTGCTTCCAGTATCGACCTCCTTGGATCCATCCTCTATATATTTCCTGCTTGTCACTCATTGTTTATACTCCTCTGCTCCCAGTATGTTCCCTCTTCCTACTAATCTCCCTTCTTTCACCCTTTAACTACCACTAATTCTTTAAGGCTCACTTTGAAATCTCCTTTAGAGGGCCTTCCTCGAGGGGAGTCCTCACACCTCACACCCTGGATTGGATTAAATGCTATGCCTCCATATATCCTGAACCAAAATTCCCGTTCTTGCCCTCATCACACTGTGTATGATTCCTTTTTAATGCCCTCTTTTCCGTTACTCTGTGAGCCTTTTGAGGTTCTCAATGCTTTTGTGTAGAATACCAAGAGTAATCAATTGTTTTCTGAAATATTAGGGAATTGAATTACATAAGTAAGTACAATGGAAATTTAGAAGTGCACAGAGAGAGAAATTTCTAAACACATTTCTTCCTTTAAATCTTTTTTAGTATCTCCTACTATTGCTGGTGTCGATGGTGATGGCAGCCCTGAAGACGTCATTGTTATCCTGAACAGCCCCACATCTTTGGTCTGCGAAGCTTATTCCTATCCTCCAGCGACCATCACCTGGTTTAAGGATGGGACTCCTCTAGAATCCAACCGAAATATTCGGATTCTTCCAGGTAATGAGTTTACTTCAGGTGCCCGAGGTGCTGCCGGTGCCATCTACTGTTGTAGGAAAGCAGAACCATTGGGGTTTTTTATAGAAGTATTGATGTTCTTGGTTGGGTTACAGTCCATTGATATTTTAATTTATAAAATTATTTGTATATATAATGTAATATAAGGTACTCGAAATTACTTTTTGAAAGACTAATAAAATATCTAAATAAAAGGGCACATAAATAAATACTACAATGTAATGAATTGCTAAAATATATTATGTGGAATGACAAAAAAAGTAGAAATTTATTTCTTGTTGAATTGAAACTTGAAGGTTAGTATTTAGATTGAGTTTATTTATTCCTAATTAATACCTGGCAATATGTATGAAAATAGAAAGAATTAAAAAGTATGATCACTGGCTTTGAGAAATTTGCAGTCCTATGTGGAGGAGAGATAAAACGTGTGAAAGTTAATTAACAACATGAATGCATGAGTAATCGTGGGTTATGAATAGTCATGGGGCATGATTAATGGAATAGTCACAAGTTTTGTAGGCATTCAGAAGACAGAATGGCTGTTGTGGGCTGAAGTGGTTAGGAAATGCTTTGTTGTGGTCAGAACTTGAACCAGACCTTAAAGAAAGTTATAGAAACTCTGTTGGTTGGAATTGAATTAGTAGAGATTTCAGATCCATCGAGATGACTAAAGTGGGAAAAGTATAAAGTGAAAATGATCTATTTATGTATAAGTAATAACAATTAGACTCCTCCCCTCCCAATTGAGTGGAGACAGTGTGTATATGTGTGTTATGTGTGTCTGTTACACAGAGGGGCAGGTAGAAGACAAGGTCAGGAAGGAATGTAGGAGTCAGGAAGGGATGTTGGAGTCATGTTTTGAATGCCTGGATTAAAGAGTTTTGACTTTATACTTTAATCAATTGAGGACCATTGAAGATTTTTAAGGAGAAATGTACCATAATAAAAGCTGTGTTTTAGCAAGACCAATCTCTACTGATAGGCCAGGTAGACGAGAGGAAGGAGATGACTAAGGCAGAGACCTATTTATGAAGAGAGAGAAATAGGGACCTTAGCTAGAATATGTGCAGAGGCATGAGAGGGTCAGAATGAACACGAGATGGTCATGCAGTGCCCATCTATTTTGTAGTTTATCTTTGTGTTAAATATCTATTACAGAATTGGCATATAGAAGAAGAAATATATTAATTGTAAGAATTAAAACCTTGGTAGTTTGTGCATGCTCTGCTGCTACTGTGATTTCAGAGATTCTTTGGTGTTCCATGATTTTTCAGGAGGTAGGACTCTGCAGATCCTAAATGCACAGGAGGACAATGCTGGAAGGTACTCGTGTGTAGCCACGAACGAGGCAGGGGAAATGATAAAGCACTACGAAGTGAAAGTCTACAGTAAGTTCTGAAAGAACACTGTGTTTTATATTTTCCCCAAGTTGTCTAACTTGTTCAATTCTGTCTTTTGTTATGGGTCTGTAATTATTTATACTGATTATTAAAGTTTGTTGTTTATGCAGCTTGCTTTGTTAAGGTGGATGTTGAATTAAGCTTTGTGCCCATGACCTCAATTACTTAAAGATATAAAGAACCCACTCAATCTACTCACTAACATCTCGTTGGAGAATTTGTCATGGCACTTCCTTAAGTTTCTCTGTTTTTCCTTCTGAATTACCCTCTGGGCTAAGTTATAGTACTTTCATGCATAAAACTGTTGTTTGAATACATATGCTCCAATCAACAGTCTAGGATGGGTTCATCAGTGTCTTTGGGCTGATCCACTATAGACTGACCTATAAATAAAAAGCAAAGCTAACACTAGCTAGTGCCAATATTTCAAGATTTTGTTTGTGTTTCTACAAAGGAAGAATATCTTTCTGGTTGTCTTTAGTTCTTTGAATAGATCTCTTTAATAACCGATAAAATATATTTTATGGGTTGTGCTCAGACTGTGTCTGGGGACCTGGAACAAATGACACTAACTGTTCTGGGAAGAACTTTAGCCTCGTTGTTAGTATTTTAATGACAAAGGAAGAATGATATTTTCCTTCATAATCTGTATCTGAGCACTACCCTTTCATAAGATGGTAACTTGGGTTCTTGATGAAAGGGGAGCATAGAAAATGCCTCAGTTATTTCCTTGTTTTCTTGTAAAGTGATCCTCAGTGTGGTTTTCATGGAATTCCATGTATTTGAAAGAACCGATGTTTAACTGTTTTATATTTGTTTTTATGCAGTTCCACCCGTAATCAATAAAGGGGACCTCCTGGGACCAGGTCTTTCCCCTAAAGAAGTAAAGATCAAAGTAAACACCACCCTGACCTTGGAATGTGAAGCCTATGCTATCCCTTCTGCCTCTCTCAGCTGGTACAAGGATGGACAGGCCAGTCACAAGATTTTTCATTTGCTGATGGTTTCTTAAAGATTAAAATGGTCAATTAAATAATAACAATAATAGGAGTAGTAGTAAAAACAGACACAAGTAACTCAGAGAATCAGTGTGACCTTAAAACCAGCACAGTCTCATGCTCTCAGAATATAAAACTGCAAAAACACTTGAACTGTGTTCAACAATATTAGTATTAGTCCATCATTGACAAGGATTGTCTTTGTGTACATTAGCAGTTGTCCATGAAAATTCAGCCACCTTCCCACTGGGGAACGGTTTTTGTGTTCTTTGGTTTTGCAGAGTAAATAAACTTTGTGGAGAAGAAACACAAAAACAGTGCCAAACCAGCTTATGATAGGCATAACATGGGCGCTAAGCTTAATCAGAACTTTCTGTAAGCACCTTTAACTCTTTTACCAAAGGTAACGTTTTCAACATTCCAGGATGAAGGGGGGAAAAGCTAAATGTGATGATTAAGTCCCCAACCCATTTAACTGGAGGCAATGAGAAACTTTCAAGAAAAAAGACATCTTTCAGTTATGTGATCTGACTCAGACCACACACTCTCATTTCTCATTCAACTTACTTCCTTCTATGCCTGTTTTAAAGAAGTACGTTGGTGTCTTAAACCAAAATAGATTCTTTTTAGCTGCTATTAATACTGCTTAATACAGATGTGACAAGGCTAAGCTGCTCTTTGTCTTGTTTTACACATAATCAACCAAATGGCCAGTTAAATCCAGTTGTAGCAGTTCAGGTCGGAGTCATGATTTAAGACGCAAAAAGATATAGCTTTATTTTTTCAGATCACAGATGGATTTTGCAATACTGGCAACTAAAAAAAATCATCTCTTATAAAATAAGCAAGTTTCATCTGGAAACCATTACAAAGGGAAAAATACGGAACTCCCACCATGTTCTGTTTACAGTTTCTTTCCTGACTGCAAGCACACTTCATGGTACAACATTAAGTCTATACGAGTTTACTCGGAAATAATTCCTTTCTCCTGGAAATCTTATTTTATTTCTAATTGTACCTAAAGACTTGTCATTCATTGTAGTTACTACACACACACACACACACACACACACACACACAAACACATGCACACATAACAGTTGGATAATGACTGGAAATGCACTAAGAATGAGGCAGTTTTTTAAAATTTTATAATGAAATCATTAAAGCCCAGTTTCAAATCCAGACTCTGAAATTGATCCAGTTGTGATCATTTAAGCTGCTACATTTTTAGGGTTTGGGATTGGGTTTTTTAGGGTTAGGGTTTGAATGTGTAAAAAAAAAACAAAACCCTGTATTTTTTGTTTGCTTGTTTGTTTGTTTGTTTTCCCCAACCTTTCTTCTGTTATTTCATTCCTCAGACAAACACCACCACTGGAGCAAAGGTGTTTTTGTAGAAAGCAGCAAAAAATAGTGCCAATGTTAGACCCAATAAGTTTTGATACAGCCTTTGAGTTCTGTCTATTCATGCACCGAAGTTTTTGTTAAGCACAGAAATGTTAAATTATGCATTTTTATACAAGTGGTATAATGCTACTAATGATTTGTTGCATCCTGCATTATATATTGAGCATATCATACTCTTGGGCAAGCCTTGTTTTAGGTGTGGGTGGTACAGCTATGAAGGAAAAAAGAGAAACATCTCTGTTCATATGAAGTTTGGAGAGACAAAAACTAAACAAACATACCAGTGAACCATACAGTGTGCCAGATGAGGTAGACATTATGGAGGAAATTCAGGAAAGAAGAAGAAAAGTGAGAAAATTATATGTCTCATTTATACAGGGAAGGCCTCGCTGATGAGGATATATATGAGCAGAAACTCAAAGAAAGTGAAGGAGGCAAACATTAGATATCTGTGGGCGAAATATACTAAAGTAGAGGGAATCCCAGGGGCAAAGGCCCTGAGCATTTTGACTGGAGGGCAGTGATCCACGAGAACACTGAAGATGTGAGCGGAAGATTAATGGAGAGCCAGGTTACACTGCCTGGTAGACCAGTTGGCCTTTATTCTGGAGGGAAGCCACTGGAGATTTTTAAATATAAGAGTGATGTGTTCTGATTTAAGGCTTTAAAAGGATTACATTGCTTCTGTATTGGGAGAACAAAGAGATAGTCTAGACTCCAATTTATTGTAGCGGTCCAGAGGAGAGTTGGTGGTTTCTTGTATGACGGTGGTAGTGGGATGTGAGTGCAAGAGATGGTCCAAGGTTTTGCATGAGATCACATTAGGACAGTGAGCTTAGACAGAAAGAGGAGAGGTCCACGGTTCAAGCCCTGGGAACGCCTTCACATAGAGGGAAAAGTCTATCAAAATGATGACTGTGTAGCTATTGAAATCACCAAGAATTATGAGAAAAGTATCAGTAGAAGAAATGGCCTTGATTCAGGAGCTAAAATCTTCAAGGAATAAGAGAGAATGCAGTGTCAATGAGAATACGTAGGAGATGAGAAATGTCCTATTAAGTGTAGGTAATGTTATCAATGAAACATCATAATATAAATATCTGTAAGTTAATAACCCATTAAATACAGTAATAGTTTCGATAAAATGTCATAATATAAATATCTGTTGGTTAAAATTTTTATTTATGAAGTAATGATATTTCTAAATGAACAACAGCGATTTTTAGATTAAATCAGACTGTTAATACCCTCAATCTTTAATTAAAAAACTCTAGCATTTTTGAAAAAATATAATAAAAGATATGCTTTTTAATACATTGTGGGGTCAACTGAAAATATTGTTTTCCTAATTGGATATGGTACCTCTAACATTTTTTATCATAAAAATATATAAATGTACCACCCTGAAATACCTGGAACAGATGTAAACTATATGAGCTATAATTTTCAATAAATGTGTGATTACTCAGTAAGAGTACAGTAAATTAATAAAATTATTCCTGTCCTGAGTATGTCACATAAAATTTAAGTCTATTTATTTTGGTTTTTTAAAAAGTCAACAGTTGCACACTGCTCAGATGTGAGTGGTGCTTTATTTTATTTATTTTTTAAATATATCTTTATTGACTTCAAAGAGAGGAAGGGAGAGGGAGAGAGAGAGATAGAAACATCAACGATGAGAGAGTCATTGACTGGCTGCCTCCTGCACGACCCTTACTGGGGATCGAGCCCCCAACCTGGGCATGTGCCCTGACTGGGAATCGAACTGTGATCTCCTGGACCATAGGTCGATGCTCAACCACTGAGCCATGCCCAGCCGGGCTAATTCTGTTTATTTTGAATCATAAAAATTATCAGCTGCATGGTCTCTTAGAGGATTTATTAGCATACTTAATGCTAACATTAATTATAATTGAATCACAGCCTCTTAAATCAGATGATCATGTTAATATTGCTGCCAATGGACACACACTTCAAATAAAGGAAGCTCAAATATCAGACACTGGACGATACACTTGTGTGGCATCTAATATTGCAGGTGAAGATGAGCTGGATTTTGATGTGAATATACAAGGTAATACTAATACGCTTATTGTATATCATTTAAATTATATGATATGTCAAAGCAGTGAAAAACAGATTTGACTTGGTTTATTTCAGATAGCTCTTTTTCTGTTGACAATGATATAAATTCATTATTGAAAACTTGGACACCAGAAATTAACTAAGAAGAAAAGAATCCCATTATTCAGGATTACTTGAGTTATTTTTATGTATTTCCTTTTGATATTTTTTCTTCTGTTATATTTTGTAAATGTAAACTGCATTTACAAATTAGGATCACATGATACATACTTATCTGCTACATTAACTTTCCCCCAATGTTATGTCATGAAGCTTTATTTTTTAATTTTTTAATAATTTTTGTTAATCCTTACCTGAGGATATTTTTCCATTGATTTTTACAGAGGGTGGAAGGGAGGGAGGGTGGGGGGAGAGAGAGAAACATCCATGTAAGAGACACATTGACTGGTTGCCTCCCTCAGGCGCCCAGACCAGGGCCGGGGATCGAGCCTGCAACCCTGGTACCTGCCCTTGGCGGGAATCAAACCCGAGACCCTTTGTGCGCTGGCCTACAAGCTAACCACTGAGAAACACCATCAGGGTGCTTTCTTTTCTTTTTTTTTCATAGCACTTATATGGAAAGAAAAAGGAAGTACAGTATTTAAAATACTCAGACTTGGGATAGAATGATGATTTTAGGCTTCTAAAACCTTTGTGACTAAAACAAAAATCAAACAAACAAAAATATTTTGTACTTGGGTAAGTTACCTAAATATTTTAAACCCCAGTTTCCTTGCTCTTAAAATTAATGTTTTGTAGAATTATGGTGAGTATTAAGATAAAGTATGTAAAACTCTTAGAAAAATGCTTAAGATATGACACCTGGTATTATTGTTGATATTACTCTCAATATGATCTTTTATATATATCTTTATTGATTTCAGAGAGAGGAAAGGAGAGGGAGAGAGAGAGATAGAAACATCAATGATGAGAGAGTCATTGATCGAGCCCGCAACCGGGCACATGCCCTTACCGGGAATCGAACCCCCATCGCCTGGATCCTAGGTCGACGCTCAACCGCTGAGCCACGCCCGGCCGGGCTCAATGTGATCTTTAATAACTATATCTGTTTTATCACTTGAGTATCCAAGTATTTATTTAACCCGATTCCTGTTGTGAATGCCTGGGTTGTTTCCAAGTTTTTACTCCTCATATGTAATGCTTCACTGGGCAGTTTCTACATAAAACTTTTGGACATCTATGATTTTTTTCATAAGTTACTAATAGTGGAAATTTCAGGTCAAGCGTTGTGCACATTTTTAATGTTCTTGATGTACAGGCAAATTGCCTTCCGGAAAGTTTCTACTTGTTCCCCAGAAAAGTTTGAGAACATCCTATTATTTTAGTTAATGGGCTTATTAATCTTGATATCCTAACTTCTTTAGCTTTCTTTAGTAAGACAAATTATTGGAAAATGCTCTCGACCGAGCCATTATTTTTTAATGGCTCTTCAAAATATGTTTTTCCTGCTATGATTATATTCCTTAGCCAGGCTCATTGTAGTAGGTTCTTGCTGAGAGCAGGCGGCTTTAAGACGGAAGGAGAGCAGGGGGTGAGCACAGCTTCCTGAGCCCCACAGCTCTGCCCTCCACAGTGAGAACCAGCCCAGCTTCTGTCTGCTACTTTTCTGGCTAACGGCTAGAGTTGGTAGATGGATAAATACTTGAAGATATTTTCACATTGTCTCACTTATGACATCTACATATCACGCCTGTGAGGACACAGCCAAGATCTTGGTTTAATGGATTGACACTGGCATTCATATGTATCCAAAATTCCATGCCTTTCCTCCCTAGTTCCTCCAAGTTTTCAGAAGCTCTGGGAAATAGGAAACATGCTGGATACCGGCAGGAGTGGCGAAGCCAAGGATGTGATCATCAACAATCCCATTTCTCTTTACTGCGAGACAAACGCTGCTCCTCCGCCTACGCTGACATGGTACAAGGACGGCCGTCCTCTGACTTCGAGTGACAGAGTGTTGATTTTACCAGGTAAAGATTGCTATGAACAGGGGGAAAGCCTTAATCTCTGCCAGATGTGTTTCTTCTCGTTTATGAGGACCAGTAGAATTGATTGACTTTCTGGCTATGTAATTTAACTGACACAGGCTGCCAAATGTCACAGCTAGCCCTGCAGCTTCAAGCTAGGAGAGTCTAGGTCGAGAAGTTGGCATAGGACAGAACCCCTTAGTGAATCTTCAGATCTGCTGCAGGATCATTCTGTCAACTGAAGGACGTCCTTTGGCTTCCCTGTGCCTCTTTTTTTCTAATAGTGCGATGAAATAATCACTTTGGTGGCTATACCTTATTAACGATAAATTCTAAAATATATTTGTGAAGAGTTATACTCAGTTTATTAAATGCATTTATCATAAATCAATGGTAAAGATTATTAGTTTCAAATATTTTAGTTATTACCTGGTTTATTGATGGAAAGGAGATGTTTAAATTGTGGAATAGTAATATTTTCAAGACTTCTATTCACTTTCAGCAAACATTCAAATTGTATACTGTATGTAAATTTCATCTTCACTAAATGAAAGAATATCTTGAAAAAAATGGACCCTAAATGGAAATGACAAATAAATGTAATATGTGATCCTAATTGGATCTGGGTTTGGGAACAAAAAGCTATAAAAGACAATATTATTATAATAATGACATTTGACTATGGGCTATGAATTCAATAGTGCTTTCGTATTGATTTTAAATTTTCTGATTTTGAGTATCATACTATAGTTACATAAGGAATTTTCCTTGTTTTTATGATATATAGATCTATGAGTATTTAGGAGTAAAAGCACACCATGGGTCCAACTTCCAACTTACTCTCAAATGGTTCACAAAAAGATTATATATATACATAATATATGTAATATATGTGACAGATCATATGTATATACAACAAAGATAAAACAGTAAAATATAAATAATTGATAAACATAGGTAAAAATTTTTATACAATTGCAACTTTTCTCTATGTTTGAAATTATATCAACATTAAAAATTAGTACACAGTTATTATTTCAAGATTATATGTATAATGGTGTTCTGTCTGCCTTTTGCATCCTTGGCTATTATTTTTCTCAAGCCACTACTTGCATGCAACAGTGTAAACTTCTTTATAGGTGTTCAAACTGTAAAAGCAAGAACTTACTTCATAGTAACATTTCACATGGAACATGGTGAGGGGCATAGAGCAATGCTCCTACCTCAAGGAAAATCCACACGAGCTTTTCATTTCTCAGGAGTTCTGACTCATATGTTGGACCACTTTTCAATAAGGCAGCGTTTGTTATAAAAGTGGTATGTGGGATTAAAACTGGACCAGTGGAACCTCAGAAGAAATGTAAGGAAGTCATTAGACCTGAAAAATGGTATCTGTTTATAACCAGTATTCGCGCTAAGATGTACAGAAGTAAACACATTAGGATATCTTTTCAGGTGGGAGAGTGCTGCAGATTCCCCGGGCGAGGGTAGAAGATGCGGGGAGGTACACGTGTGTCGCTGTGAATGAAGCTGGAGAAGATTCCCTTCAGTATGATGTCCGTGTCCTCTGTGAGTTTGTTTTCTTCTGTTTATCACACATTCTTTTGCTCAAAAATATTTTTGAGGAGCTAATGTTTGCAAGATGTTGCACTAAACATCCTAAAGACTATAAAGATAATCAGAAACTGATCTTTCATTGTCTTACGCAAATGGAGAGCACCTTACTTAAGACTCCTGAATTATCAAACTGGCTTAAACCAAAAAAAGAGAGATGGGGAGAGAGAGAGAGAATTCATTGACTCATAAATCAATGGGGAATGTGGTAGGCAGTCAGGGGTTGAAGGCAGAGCTAACTGGGCTCAGTCCTTGCTTTCTGGAGCTACCCTCAGTAACCTGGGGGCGAAGGTAGAAAAATAGATGATGTGGCCTAAGGGAGGAGGGGGAGCCTGTGGGGACATGCTCAAGATAACAGGATGCACATTTTGCAAGCACTGGGGGGTGAGAGAGCATAGAATGTGCAGTAGTCAGGCCATCTCTGAAATGACTCACGATGAGATCTGGGCAGGGCAAGAGGAAAAATGAGCTTAGAGGGAGGCGAGTAGGTTGGTGGTAACTAAGAGCAGCTTACGGAGGAACCCTGAAAAGAGATGGAAGAGAAAAGCAGGAGTTGCTTATTTGACAGATATCTATTGATTGCTCACTGTGTGCCAGGCAGTGTACTAGACACTGAGGATACAGTGAACACAGTAAACATCAGTCCTTCATCAGGGAGCTTATAAACTTGCAGAGGGAAGAAGTGTTGTTATTGAATAGTCCAAGGTATGAGCGCCAGTGATTAGCTGAAGTGGAGTAGAGGTGAAACTAATTAGGATGGGTTGGGTCATCGACATAGACTTTAAAGTCTGCAAGATAGTGATAAGAAAATAGAAAAGGAATGAAAAGATAATTAAAATCATTGCTAACATCATCAAGAACCGTGAAGGAGCATCCTAGACCATGTGGCTTAATTTGACCTAAGTTTGGAAAGAGTTTATTTAGTTTAAGACAGGATAGGATCTGATTTAAAAAAAAAAAAGAAAGGTAGTGTAGTTTGGGAAAGACTGCGATTCCATCAAGTTGAAATTGAATTTGGGAATTCAGTTGTCAACTGTAGAGTTCCATGCTTCAGGCTGTTCTTAATAAAGAGGCAGTTGGAAAACACTGGAGATTAGTTTAGAGAGGTGGGAACCAAGCAGGAAAAATGAACTGGCCCCAAAATTCTGTCTCAATTAGGGATGTTCCACAGTTTGATTCTCACCCCCTGAGTACCACTAAGAACAATTGTGAGTGGTGTAAGCCAGTCAGCTGGAGGGGCAGGTGAGAGAAAATCATTCCGGTGGAGACCCCTACAGGCCAGACCTTGGACCTAGACTGTGCCTCCCAGTAACTACCAGTGGTTCAGTACTAGGCAAAAGTTGAGGAAAACATTGAATCTTTAATGTTTTAAACATTTCATTTGATCACTTTTCATGGTGTGGGGTTAGTGATAACATTTAATCTAAAATTCAGGTTTTTTATTTACTGATCTTCAGTTCAAGTTATATATTTCATGTTATTTAAAGTAGAGTAAAAGTCACATAACGCTGAAAGTGAAAATAAGCATTCACAGAAACATTGAAATTCTATTATGTGCCTCATAGCATTGATCATTTCCTCTACCGACTTTCAGTTTATTTTTTTAATTCAATTTTATTTTTTTAATTGAATCCATTGGGGTGACATCCGTCAATAAAATTATATAGGTCTCAGGTGCACAACTAAATGGGCATGAAACTGTAGCAGGGGTTAGTCCAGGGCAGGTAAAGAGGGGGAAGAAAATCAACCCAAATTCATATAATTTTTATCTCTGCTAATTTTTAAGTGTAAACTGATCCTTGTGGATCATGATTCTTCACGTTTTGCTCCTGTTACCCCACCGTTTTTGAAATGGTCATAAAAGTAGGATTGTTTAGAAAAGGCCTCATTTCCTGTTCCTGTCCTTTTTTTGCATCGCTTGTTAGTGCCGCCGGTCATCAAGGGAGCGCACGGCGACCTGCCGGAGGAGGTGACGGTGCTGGTGAGCAAGGGCGCGCTGCTGGAGTGCCTGTCCGGCGGCAGCCCGGTGCCAAGGAACTCCTGGCACAAGGATGGGCAGCCCTTGCTGGAAGATGAACAGCATAAGTTTCTGTCTAATGGAAGAATCCTGCAGGTAAAAGTAAAAAATCGGATTTTAAAAATAGCTGTTTGACTTTGTATTTCATAATTGCCTTTATGGCTTTAAAAAAAAATTCTTATTATTTAGAAATAGGCTTGTCAAAATAACTAAACAAAAAGGATATAAAATAAAATGTTTGTTCCTCATTTTATTCACCCTATGAGGGCTGACCGTGATGAACAGTTGCGTGTGAATTCTTCTAGAAATTGTCTGTATATGCAACACACATACACACACCCTGAAGTTTAATACAATGTGGCCTTTGTGATAAAAACCACATCTAAGCAAATTATTACAATCCTTTCCATTGCATATCTCTGATGGTAAAATTGTGGCTGGTATAAGTAATTACCTGTTGATTAAAATTTGCTCACTATTGGCAAAGAATTAATATAATAATGGAAACCACATAAATACCCAGAATTGTTGTTCACTGATGGGCATGTCTATACTTTTTAAAGTGTCCTAAAAGGTATTTGGGCACTTGTAGAAATAACACCAATTCTTTTGTTAGGTTACAACTTATTAAATTATTTCTTGAACATGTAAATGATAGTCTATAGGCCCAAAAATCTAAGCATAACTTTATATCAGTATATCTAACACAGGACGTATCTCATGGAGTTCTTTATCTAAAAAAAAAAAAAAAAAAAAGGG